TTGTGACCATCAGCGCTTTTGCACCCAGCTGGGTCTTGTGCCTGTCTTGCCTCACTTGCTCTCCTCTTGACTTCACTTGTACTGTGACATATATATATACCTGCTCTTGCTTGTCTAGTTTTATATATATGTCTGTACTCCTGTATGTGAACTGGCCTCTGGCCCTGCTCTTGTGCTCGGACTGTGTGGTGACTTTGTGATCCACCCTGAGCTTGCTTTGCTTTGCTTGACTGGTCTTGTGACCCCTTGTTCTCCCCCACTTTGCCTATGGGGGTGTGTCAAACATTATATATGTTCTGCTTGTGTAGGCTACAGTGGGTTAGCCTATAGGGGGTACACAATTCTAGGGTTTCCTACTTGTACTCATTTCACTGCTAGTTCATCCATTCCTGTTCGCTTATTCTTACATGGTATCAGAGCGGTCTCGGGTTCGATTCCCGGTGTATGCACATGTAGGCCGGTGCCGCTGTGCTTAGTCCTGGGCCTCCCAGTGTGGGGGGGTGTCAGTAGAGCTACACTGTGAGATCCCCGATCGATCCTAGGGGTGGTTACAGGCGCGTTCGCCTGGGGGGTTATGGGCGCACTGACCCGCTACTGAAACAAGCCCTTTTATCCCAATGGTCTAGTGGTTGGGATTCTTACAGCTCGGACATCCCTCGGGCGACACGCTGGAAACATGCATTGACGCAGGAGTATCCGCTCCTATCGCATAAGGAAATGTCACCATTTGAGTGCTTGGCTAGCTAGGCCGATTAGTAATCCATTGTGCTACTATTTATGTGCTTGCATTTGCATGTATTGCACATCCCAGTCAATGTACATTCACTCTACTACTAGGTCAAGGGCCCAGGAAATTGAATGTGCGACCCTTCTTGTGCGTTTACCTTGTTACGTTCAATCTCAAGTCGCAGCAATGCGTTACTACAGTTTGTTAAAAATAATACAGTAGTGGGAAAACAAGTTCATGGCAGTACTTGCACATTCAAAACTCCTGAACACCAAATCTATTGATGAAAGACAAACTACGCCGGTCAAACGATCTAACTACATGCATCGTGCGCAAGATGGAATGCGCCTCAACAATCTGATATCGTACGTCACGTTGCGACTCGTGCAGCACTGTGCACGATGTGACCGCGTCCACATCTCCAACTTCGTAGTATCGCACCATTGCATAGGCCTTCTTCACTGCAACCCTTGACCGTCCTCAACTGAATCCACATGGAACAAGAGCATCAGCTGTGCGAACCACGTTGTAATCACCTCAGCTCCAAGCGGCGCAATTTCGATCCCCAAAATCGCAACATAGGAGAAACAAGGTGCGTTATGGAAAGTCAATGCTGCCCGTGCGTAATGCGCCTCGTAGTCGTCCCCTTCTGGTAGTGCGATCGAGGTATGTACCTGGAAGGATTAGGAAAACAATCGTTTGTTAAATAATCACTATAGTGTAGAATGTGGTGTTGGATTTGGAGGAGTAAAACAATTCAAGAACAAACCCTACCTCCACCGACTGGGCAGGCAGTTGCAGACTCTTGAGCAACTCAGGAAGCGAGCGCATTCCCGTCCCATGATGGTTGACGAACGAGTCCCACAAGGCATCTCCCACAATCCCACCCTCGCGGCACGGCAGAACCATGGTGTTGTGTCGGGACGTCAGCACGTGTGTTTTTAGAGAAATGGCCTGGTATTTAAGAGGGTTGCATGTAGGGGAAAAGATGCCAAGATTTTGATTAGGGTGACACACAAGATACCAGTGGGATAGAAACAGGATGTATTAAAATACGAAGTGCATTACCTTCATGAGGGCGGTGTCGTAACGCTTGCTCTGCAGCAGAGAAGTTGGCAACAGAGACAGCGTGTTGCGCATCACCGCGCTGCGCATGATTGCTGCATCATACTCTCGGAAGTTAGATGCTCGAAATGGTCGTTTACATGAGGCAGTGTGTGCATGCTCGAAAAGGCTAGTGCAGAACTCCCTAGGCAAACCGCCTCGCCTAATCGAATCTGGGAAGTGCAGTAGCAAATGTACTTTCACTAGCTTCCACCCATTTCCCCCGCGTGGCAGATTGTGCACCAACAGCCGGATTAATGTGCCAGTGAAATGGCAAGGCATGAGTGACAATGGTACAAGCAACCAATCTGTACAAACATCCAATCGGACAAAAAACTTACTCTTGGGTATCAGTCAGATATTTCTCCAGCGATGCCTTCGTGTAGGATGTTGCCCTGAAGTAGGTGTCGAACCAGTTCACAAAGAAACGCAGAATATACATTCCCGCACCGGAAATGAGTCCTTCCATGATGAAGACGACCACCTGAATTACACAATACCACACATACGGTTGAATGGTCATACTAAACGTAGAGTGTTACGAATGTTACGATCTAATAGGGGAAACATACTCACCCGCAACATTCCTGCATGATCCGATGCTGAGAAGTTGGCTCCAAGGCTGAAGTAGCGTCCAGAGGGGGGTAGCGGAATGCCTGCTGATCGCGCCTCCCGTTAGAGATCCCGATGACGTCTGCCAGTGGCCATACAGTAGAAACAAAGTTACAATTGTGTGTATACTCCATTAAGAGAGGGTAAAGAGAAGCACCATATTTATGAAATCACTTGCAAACTTACTCGTTCATCGTTTTAACATTTTTGTTCTTGAAAAGCAAAGCTTCAAGGATGTACACCCAAAGCCCGATCAATATCACATGTAACACATCAGGTTGGATTACTTGATACGGGTTTCCCCAATCCTTCTCAGCGTCCTTCTGCTTGCCGAAATGCCACAGAAAGGTCTGCAGGGCGGGATTGATATACGGGACACGCAAACTATGGATTACATTTGTTGAAGTGTCATGCGAGTCATATAATACTGCCGCACAAGCGCAATGTCAGCGTGTCATTTCGCGAAATATACATGACAGCTGTAATAATAGCCATGTTACTTACGTCCATCATAACCGTAGAATACTCCTTCGCTAGCTTAGCGTCCTTGGCGTACTTCATTTGACGCTCTACGGTCCTGTACTCGATGATGTGTGGATCCATGACGTCCAGCTGCGACTTCTCGACATAGCAGATCGAGCAAGGGCGCGCCGAGTTGTGTTGCATCGTGCATGTGACCTTGCAGGTCTCGGGATAATCAGCGATGTACTCGAACAGTTTGAACCAAATGGTCCAAACATTGCCGTTGGGATCTGTCAAGGGCAGAGAACTACACATCCAAAACAAACACCCATGGGGAAAACTTATAAGAGTATGATCCATAATTCAGCATCACAACTACATTTGGATACAATATGCAAATATCACCATAACACATACGTTTTGCAAAACCGCATTAGGCTTTCAAACACTGCAGAACTACTCTTCTGGAACAGCTCCACTTTTTGCCAGGCTTCCATCTCAGGATCCGGACGCGGCAGGAGCGCAATCATTGTGCGACCATGCTCCTTCCATCTCGTATCAACAGGAAGATTGGCAAAGGTAAGGTATACCGGCCAAGCGCGACATCGCTCGTTACCACTCAGCGTGGTCTCATCGCTCGAAATGATGAGTGGACAGACACACTCCTTGGGTCCCAGGCCTTTCTGTAGTGGAGTAATATTGGGCGGAGTAATAGAATGTAAGAGGCTGCACGAAGATGGCAAATGAAATAGTGAACAAAACATCCCTAACATTGCATTTACCTGAGCACCCAACCAATAGTCCCCATTGTGTGCTGCATCATACACTCTAATATCATCCACCATCTTTTTCTTAGCGTGATGTGTGAATCCAGAAGCATTGCGCTTATCCCCCCACATCCTTTCCAATGCCTGCCAATCAACAAACCGCTGTCAGATACAGTCAAAGATAGAACCTGCCTAACTACCAAACTTTCATAACCATACCTCTTTCAGATCCACTGTCTTGACATGAAATGATGACGGCCATCCTCTAACAGTTACTTCGATCATTTTAAACTGCTGCTTAGAAACTCCTAAGGCCTCTATCCCATACCTATCTACTGCTGCTTTTGTGGTCCACTCAGCAAGCTGTGCTGGATCAAAACCGGGCTGCTTCACTAACCTAAAAAGGTAACTAACGTCAGGACTGGCCATTCCCGTACCCTTATTGCAACTCTCCAGAAACCTAAACATCTCCTTCTTAGTGTCGAATATAGGGCGCTCTTCCTCCTCTTCCCCAAACTCGACCTCGGCGTCACAAAAGACGTCACTGTCATCATCGTATGACTCATCATAGCCATCACCCCTATCTACTACAGGATCCTGCACTCCAAACACGAATGGAAATGGCGGCGTGAAATCTACACGTTCTAATGGTGGTACCAAAATCCCACGACTAGTTGGAGTGCTAAACGCATTTGCTTCCTGAATCGCTAAACACCGTTGATTACTCCTCTGGTGATTCACTAGACCTAACTCGCTGTTCAACCCCTTCCCGCAATGCCGGCATACGAAGATAAGCATTTCGAGGTTCAGGTAACTGCACAAGGGAAACAGCATGAAGATTAGAGTCACCTAGTGTTTAACATGGCCACCACAGGTCAAGCATGGTATACACAATCCGATATAGGACTCATCTATACACTTACCTCTAAGTCGGCAGCAAGCTCCCACAGCGTACGGTGTCTTGTATCAAGCCTAGCACGAACGCCTGGATGTCGGGCACAGTTCAATCTGGAAACTACCTGCAATAGAAGCAGATATCGTAGGTTTTAGGTTTGATCCTGCTCTAGTTGAGTGTGCTAAAAGGATGCATATATGGACAGAATCACAGAATTACATGTATAGGGCGTAATATTGATGCACGTACACTCGCCCACACACTTGTTTGAGTGTTAATTGCAACATTAGCGAGTGTCAGATAGACTGGCCGGACCGAGACAATCCCGAAGTAGCTTCCGAGGCAAGGAAGGTCTACCGCAATCACCAACAGTGGCCTGGGTACGGTTGCATGACTTCCAAACTCATCCCGTTCAGCCAGCAGATCGTCATGATTATCCCTGTGGTGATATGTACCAGGATTAGCACGTTTTAGAGACGCATATAAGTATACTGAATGACACATCAGGCAACGGTACACAGTACCGGACACCCGCTGCCCAAACGCACATGCCCACGCCGTCACCACAACCTAGCCCAAGGTTTGACGTACATTCAGTGTATCGCAGACGCCGCACCAAAGAGTTAGCAGGCAACATGTGTTGAGCAGACCTGTGTGGAGTTAAGAGGCACGGTACACAAAGTGAGTGGCAGGCCGGGAAAGGATACGTGGGCTGGATTGGAGAGGATGGCAGGGCAGAGGGGAGGGCAGGATGTGAGAGGAGAGGAGGGAGGGCCGCACGGGAGAAGAGAGAGGACAGAAATAGAGGGGAGAAGGGAGGACAGAAAGAGGGGGGAGAGGGAGGCAGGAAGGGAGAGGAGATGAATGCAGGCCGGAAGAGGAGGTGATGGCAGCACGGGAGAGGAGATGATGGCAGCACGGGAGAGGAGATGATGGCAGCACGGGAGAGGAGATGATGGCAGCACGGGAGAGGAGATGATGGCAGCACGGGAGAGGAGATGATGGCAGCACGGGAGAGGAGATGATGGCAGCACGGGAGAGGAGATGATGGCAGCACGGGAGAGGAGATGATGGCAGCACGGGAGAGGAGATGATGGCAGCACGGGAGAGGAGATGATGGCAGCACGGGAGAGGAGATGATGGCAGCACGGGAGAGGAGATGATGGCAGCACGGGAGAGGAGATGATGGCAGCACGGGAGAGGAGATGATGGCAGCACGGGAGAGGAGATGATGGCAGCACGGGAGAGGAGATGATGGCAGCACGGGAGAGGAGATGATGGCAGCACGGGAGAGGAGATGATGGCAGCACGGGAAGGAGAGGAGATGATGGCAGCACGGGAGAGGAGATGATGGCAGCACGGGAGAGGAGATGAAGGCAGCACGGGAGAGGAGATGAAGGCAGCACGGGAGAGGAGATGATGGCAGCACGGGAGAGGAGATGATGGCAGCACGGGAGAGGAGATGATGGCAGCACGGGAGAGGAGATGAAGGCAGCACGGGAGAGGAGATGAAGGCAGGACGGGAGAGGGGATGATGGCAGGAAGCAAGAGGAGAGGAAGGCAGGGAGAGGAAGAGGAAGGGGAAGGGGAAGCGAGATTTCCGCGTACGCACCGAGGGAGGTTGGCATCCGGATTCCGGAAACCACACTGTTGCGCGCGCCTACTGTTTCCGGAGATCCCACCGCGCGACACGCCTGCAAATATGGGTGGAGAAGCGAGCAGTGGAGGACGGAGCGAGAGAGGAGAGGTGTGGACATTGAGGGAGGAGAGGGGGGGACGAGGATAGCAGGAGAGGAGAGGGGAGCAGGAGAGGAGAGGGGAGCAGGAGAGGAGAAGAAAGCAGGAGAGGAGAGGAGAGCAGGAGAGGAGAGGAGAGCAGGAGAGGAGAGGAGAGCAGGAGAGGAGAGGAGAGCAGGAGAGGAGAGGAGAGGAGAGAGGAGAGGAGAGGAGAGCAGGAGAGGAGAGGAGAGCAGAGAGGAGAGGGGAGCAGGAGAGGAGAGGGGAGCAGGAGAGGAGAGGATAGCAGGAGAGGAGAGGATAGCAGGCGAGGAGAGGGGAGCAGGAGAGGAGAGGAGAGCAGGAGAGGAGAGGATAGCAGAGAGGAGAGGAGAGCAGGAGAGGAGAGGATAGCAGGAGAGGAGAGGATAGCAGGAGAGGAGAGGATAGCAGGAGAGGAGAAGAGAGCAGGAGAGGAGAAGAGAGCAGAGAGGAGAGGGGAGCAGGAGAGGAGAGGGGAGCAGGAGAGGAGAGGAGAGCAGGAGAGGAGAGGAGAGCAGGAGAGGAGAGGAGAGCAGGAGAGGAGAGGAGAGCAGGAGAGGAGAGGAGAGCAGGAGAGGAGAGGATAGCAGGAGAGGAGAGGATAGCAGGAGAGGAGAGGATAGCAGGAGAGGAGAGGATAGCAGGAGAGGAGAGGGGAGAAGGAGAGGAGAAGAGAGCAGGAGAGGAGAGGAGAGCAGGAGAGGAGAGGAGAGCAGGAGAGGAGAGGAGAGCAGGAGAGGAGAGGAGAGAGGAGAGGAGAGGAGAGCAGGAGAGGAGAGGAGAGCAGAGAGGAGAGGAGAGCAGGAGAGGAGAGGGGAGCAGGAGAGGAGAGGAGAGCAGGAAAGGAGAGGTGAGCAGGAGAGGAGAGGAGAGAGGAGAGGAGAGGAGAGCAGGAGAGGAGAGGAGAGCAGAGAGGAGAGGAGAGCAGGAGAGGAGAGGATAGCAGGAGAGGAGAGGATAGCAGGAGAGGAGAGGATAGCAGGAGAGGAGAAGAGAGCAGGAGAGGAGAAGAGAGCAGGAGAGGAGAAGAGAGCAGGAGAGGAGAGGAGAGCAGGAGAGGAGAGGAGAGCAGGAGAGGAGAGGAGAGCAGGAGAGGAGAGGAGAGCAGGAGAGGAGAGGAGAGCAGGAGAGGAGAGGAGATCAGGAGAGGAGAGGAGAGCAGGAGAGGAGAGGAGAGCAGAAGAGGAGAGGAGAGCAGGAGAGGAGAGGATAGCAGGAGAGGAGAGGAGAGCAGGAGAGGAGAGGAGAGAGGAGAGGAGAGGAGAGCAGGAGAGGAGAGGAGAGCAGAGAGGAGAGGAGAGCAGGAGAGGAGAGGAGAGCAGGAGAGGAGAGGAGAGCAGGAGAGGAGAGGAGAGAGGAGAGGAGAGGAGAGCAGGAGAGGAGAGGAGAGCAGAGAGGAGAGGAGAGCAGGAGAGGAGAGGATAGCAGGAGAGGAGAGGATAGCAGGAGAGGAGAGGATAGCAGGAGAGGAGAAGAGAGCAGGAGAGGAGAAGAGAGCAGGAGAGGAGAAGAGAGCAGGAGAGGAGAGGAGAGCAGGAGAGGAGAGGAGAGCAGGAGAGGAGAGGAGAGCAGGAGAGGAGAGGAGAGCAGGAGAGGAGAGGAGAGCAGGAGAGGAGAGGAGAGCAGAGAGGAGAGGAGAGCAGGAGAGGAGAGGGGAGCAGGAGAGGAGAGGAGAGCAGGAGAGGAGAGGTGAGCAGGAGAGGGGAGGAGAGAGGAGAGGAGAGGAGAGCAGGAGAGGAGAGGAGAGCAGAGAGGAGAGGAGAGCAGGAGAGGAGAGGATAGCAGGAGAGGAGAGGATAGCAGGAGAGGAGAGGATAGCAGGAGAGGAGAAGAGAGCAGGAGAGGAGAAGAGAGCAGGAGAGGAGAGGAGAGCAGGAGAGGAGAGGAGAGCAGGAGAGGAGAGGAGAGCAGGAGAGGAGAGGAGAGCAGGAGAGGAGAGGAGAGCAGGAGAGGAGAGGAGAGCAGGAGAGGAGAGGAGAGCAGGAGAGGAGAGGAGAGCAGGAGAGGAGAGGAGAGCAGAGAGGAGAGGGGAGCAGGAGAGGAGAGGGGAGCAGGAGAGGAGAGGATAGCAGGAGAGGAGAGGAGAGCAGGAGAGGAGAGGAGAGCAGGAGAGGAGAGGAGAGCAGGAGAGGAGAGGATAGCAGGAGAGGAGAGGATAGCAGGAGAGGAGAGGAGAGCAGGAGAGGAGAGGAGAGAGGAGAGGAGAGGAGAGCAGGAGAGGAGAGGAGAGCAGAGAGGAGAGGAGAGCAGGAGAGGAGAGGAGAGCAGGAGAGGAGAGGAGAGCAGGAGAGGAGAGGAGAGAGGAGAGGAGAGGAGAGCAGGAGAGGAGAGGAGAGCAGAGAGGAGAGGAGAGCAGGAGAGGAGAGGATAGCAGGAGAGGAGAGGATAGCAGGAGAGGAGAGGATAGCAGGAGAGGAGAAGAGAGCAGGAGAGGAGAAGAGAGCAGGAGAGGAGAAGAGAGCAGGAGAGGAGAGGAGAGCAGGAGAGGAGAGGAGAGCAGGAGAGGAGAGGAGAGCAGGAGAGGAGAGGAGAGCAGGAGAGGAGAGGAGAGCAGGAGAGGAGAGGAGAGCAGGAGAGGAGAGGAGAGAGGAGAGGAGAGGAGAGCAGGAGAGGAGAGGAGAGCAGAGAGGAGAGGGGAGCAGGAGAGGAGAGGGGAGCAGGAGAGGAGAGGATAGCAGGAGAGGAGAGGAGAGCAGGAGAGGAGAGGAGAGCAGGAGAGGAGAGGAGAGCAGGAGAGGAGAGGAGAGCAGGAGAGGAGAGGAGAGCAGGAGAGGAGAGCAGAGCACGAGAGGAGAGTGGAGCACGAGAGGAGACTAGAGGAGAGCGGGATGGGAGAGGAGAGGAGAGCGGGATGGGTGAGGAGAGCAGGACGGCAAATTTCGAGCAGGATGAGAGAGGCGAACGCAGGATGGGAGAGGAGAGGATAGGAGAGCAAGAGAGGCGAGGAGAGCAGGAGAGGAGAGGAGAGCAGGATGTGAGAGGATAGGACGTCAGGGGAGGATAGGAGGGCAGGATGAGAGGGGATAGGACGGCCCACGGAGGGAATACGCACCGAGCGACACGCCTCTGTATCTCGGATCTCACGCCGCGCGATGAGAGCTGCTGAATCCGAGGCACCCACAGAGCGACATGCCTGCGGATTCCAGAGCTCCCACAACGCGAAACGCTTGCTGAATCCAAAGCTCCCGCCGTGCGACACGCAAGCAGATTCCGGATCTCACTTCGCGCAAAACGCCGGGGGATTCAGGAGCTCCCACGGTGCGACACGCCTGCGGATTCCGTCCTCAAGCCCCACGTGTGCCGCCTGCGGATTCCGGAAAACACCACACGCGACACGCCCGCGACCGCCGGGTCACTCACCGTGCCCCACGCTAGCGGATACCGGCGCACGCCACTTGCGAGAGCCACTGGGTTTCTCTAAATGCGATGCGGACATACAAATGGAATGTAGGTTTAAAAGAGGCTCAAGATGGCGGGAAAGTGGGTGGGAAAGTAGACGACCGAGTAACGCACGGTGTAACGAGATGGTGAACTAAGGTATTGGAAAAAGATTGCTCATCACAATCTTCACCACGAGCGTATAGGCGTCATGATGCAAGGCAGGGTGTAAGCTGGAGTATCACGATGTGTATAAAGTTTAGTCAAGCAGTTCTAGACCAGCAAAGTTGGCTTCTCAGAAGGAGTGGACGTGAGAAGGTAAGGCGGAGGGAGTCTGGGTAGCAGTCGACGAGAGTCCGTCTGGGGTGGGCGCTGGCAGAGGCCAGCTCTTCGGTGGTTCAGAATGTAGGTGCAAGAATCAGACAATGGTCAAAATGTCTGGTCCTAAACACCGGAAACAGCCACTTGGCAGCAGACAGCTGTACCAACAGTGCGCCTAGGCCACTTGAAGTGGTCGGGCTTGTCCATCAACCACACTTTGGAAGCAGTTCCCAAAACGGTGGGAAAATGGTCCATTTTCAAATTGTCTTTATCAATGTTGTTTAGTTCTTTCCACCCTGGATGTTGCTGACAATGCAAAATGCTTGACAACTGTGGATGTGACATCACTAACAGCATGGTGGCAGTATGGTGAACAGTGGAAGGGTTAGTAAGCAAGGCAACTTCTAAAGAAACGTCCTAGCAGTGCAGCAGCTGGCTACTTTCATCCATATCCACACCATGTCTGGCCCATCAACAATGTCCACCTGGATGGCCTGATTGATGCACTCAGCAGCAAATTCACATTGGCAGCTTGTGCTAACCTTCTTGATCCCAATTTAAATCTGGACAACTGCTCATGGATTGTGCTCATTCCTTCAACAATAGATGTGGTGCCACACAGCAAACAGGGTGGCAAGAATAAGACACTTGTGCATCTAGAAGGTACCAATTTGATTGTTGCCCACATGTGTGGTTTCCTATTGGTTAGCACCACATGTCACCTCATGCCATCACATGCCATCACATGCCAAGTATTAAATGCAGAGTCCCTTGTGCACACTGCAACCAATAAGTGCTGACACCTGCAGCATTGTCCTCTAGGTGGAGGCAAGAAAGGTATCTATTGGGATGCCTCTCTTATACATAGCATACACTAACTTCATTTTTCAATTAATAACAGTTATGACATGCCAATCTAATCAAAGTGTGGTTCGTGGTTGTGCGAAATAGCCAAACCAATTCCTATGGCAAGCGATTTGAGTTAACTCACTGAATCTGCGAAGAAATGGGGCTAAAAAAAACAACCAAGTGACGAAACGGCAACATGTTGCGTACCAGCCAGTCCTTGCACAGTTTCTAGCCATCCGACGCACAAACAAGCGTCACGTGCTGCGTAGTTGTGCGAAAGAGCCCAAACCAGATCCTATGGCAAGGGAATTGAGTGAACTCA